GTGCTGGTGCGCAGGGCCGTGGCGGGCGCGGGCGCGGAGGAGGCGGCGCCCGGCCTGTACGCGAAGGTGCAGCCCGGCTGGCGGAGGACGGTGGCGGCCGCCGTGGAGGGCCTGATGCACGACGTCGAAGGCCCCGGGGCGAGGGCGCACCTTCCTCCTCCTCCCCCTCCTCCTCCTCCTCCTCCTCCTCCTCCTCCTCCTCCCTGTACGCTCGTCTCCTCCTCCTCCTCCTCCTCCTCCCTCCCCTCCCCCTCCTCCTCCTCCCCCTCCTCCTCCTTCTCCTCCTCCTCCTCCCCCTCCTCCTCCTCCTCCTCCTCCTCCTCCTCCTCCTCCTCCTCCTCCCCCTCCTCCTCCCCCTCCCCCTCCTCCTCCTCCTCCTCCTCCTCCCCCTCCTCCTCCTCCTCCCCCTCCTCCTCCTCCTCCTCCTCCTCCTCCTCCTCCTCCTCCTCCTCCTCCTCCTATCGCCGAGCACAGCGGAAGCCCTGACCCTGACGTGGAGTCGGGCCTGTCCCTCTGCGGGAGGAGTGTTCACAAAGATGGTCCGAGCATCGTCGGAGCACGATTTGTTTCAGATTATGTTTTGACTATTTGTGAGCCTGTTTCGACTCTTTTGATGGCTCGTCCAAAACCCGCCTGCAGGAGGACACGCCCGAGCTGACCCTAATAACACGGCGCAGGCGTGGCCTCACTGAGGGCCTCGTCTTCGCATTAAGGATCTGATATAATCATTATGGGCGGCTTGGTCTGACACAGCTGCACACGAGACCCCTTATCCCTGATGTGTCAGGCCCTCTTAATTTAGGTCCCCTCCCACAGGACTAGGGCTTTTCTTTTGGTTAAGCAGTTCAGGGTCAAAGACCCGTGCCAAGAAACGCCCTGCTTGCCACCAGGGTGCCCTGGGTTTCTTGGGTCTCGATGCTTTTGTCTCGGAGAGCGTAGCGTTCCCACTCCAAAAATCGATGGACGCCCTGGGGGTCTCAGGGTTGGGTTTCTCGTGGAAGGTTTCTCGTGGACTGGCCTCCACTGTATGCTTTGCTGTGCTTGCCCACCCATTAGTGGCAAACGGCGGCCCTCGACGAAGAGAGAACGGCATAAACATCAACTTCTGGCTGTCCGCGCGGATTTCTTGGAACCGCACTGGGCCCCCCCTGGCGGCGGCGCCTCCCCTGGCGCGCTCCGCGCGCCAGGGAGGGGGACCCAGCGCGGATCCGAGAAATCCTCGCGGGACCCCAAAGGTTCATGTTTATGCCGTTGTCGTTGCTCCTCCAGGCCCAAACACAGCGACCCGCTTCTTTTCAACACCTGTCGCCCGGAGAGCCGGCCCGACCACTCTGCACCATACACCTTAGGCGATGCTTAAGAAAACCTCAGTTTTCGTCCAGGGTCTCGATTATTCTTAACTTTTCGATATAAATCCCAAGATTTTGATGGAAGTTCTGGGTTTTATTCCATTTCTGAGACTCTGAATTTCTTAACCCATGATTTCTTAAGCATTTCGCAGGGTGTACATTGTCCTGAGGCGCTTCTGCGAGGCCCCACGGGACAGGGCCCAGACGTCCTTCGTGTTTACATACGCGCTGCTCCACGATGCGCCGGCGCCCGATGCTGCTACCCTCATGTCGGGCGTGTCCCTCTACAGGAGGAGTATTCAAAAATAGTCAAAAATAGTATGGGGACGATTTGTTGAGTATGCCTGAACATTTTAAAGTTTGTTTTGACTATGTTTTGTTTCTCGCCCAAAATCCGCCTGTAGGAGGACACGCCCGACCTGTCGCCACGTTCGCAGACGACTTGTGTGCACCGTGCCGCGTCGTCGTCTCCCGAGTCTCCGTGGACCCTCGACCCAGGAACGGTAGTTCCGGTGCATCGCGTGGCGGCCCTCGGAGCAGAGCATCTGTGCACCGTGCCGAGTTGGAGAGCGGGGCCCAAAAGGAATCTGCAGTGGGGGCCCACGCCAAGAAACAGCCTGCTTGCCTCCAGGGTGTCCTAGGTTTCCTGGGTTGCGATGGCTTTGCAAAGGAAAGCGTGACGTTCCCACACCAAAATCGATGGACGCCCTGGGGTCTCAGGGTTGGGTTTCTTGTGGAAGGTTTCTTGTGGACTGGCCTCCACTATAAGCATGGTGAGATGCGGGGGCGCAGCTCTCGTCGCCACGGCTGGATCTGCTTCGAAATCCCGGCTGGGAGCCATGTCTGGAGAGGTCTGGGTAGCAGCAGCATCGGCACCCTTGTGTCCCCCCAGGATCGAGGCTCGAGCATCGACCCGAGCTGCACTGATGCGCACGCGTTGAAGCTCAACACGTGCCATGCTCACAGCACGTCTCAAGCACGTGGCAGCTCGCTAGCGGTTCCGTGCCGCGCATCGGGGCAGCTCATGGATCGACGCTGTGGGGCTCCGTCAGAGTCCTTGTGCGTGGTTCGCCTCGGGGCCTCGCCCCGTTCCGGGGAAGCTCTCCCAGCCGCCACGGTCGGGGCGCGCCTCGACATGCTGGGCAGAGGGCACGCCGCAGGACGGGCTCGGGGGGGTGTCGAGCTGTGGCCCCCGAGCCTCCACACGCCGGTCGCTGGCACCAGGTATTGTTGGACTCCCAGATCCCGAGGCTTCTTCAACCGCCTTCCTACCTCAAGAACGGACATGCTTCTGCCGTGTTTTGATCTTCCCTGGGAGGTCCTGAGCCCGATCTGCCTGATCCGCCTGCCGTTACTTCTTCAGACCGACGTGTAGGCCTCCCAGATGGGGTCCGAGTAGTTAGATGGGGCCGGAGGATCGCGCCGCAACGCCGATGCATCGGCTGTGCGGCTCGATGTGGAGCCCGATCTCCACGCGGACGTCTCCGCTGCATCGCCGGCGATACGGCGCGATCCTCGGACCTCATCTGCTGGGACCCCATTTGGGAGGCCTCCAGAGCCAGATGTTGTGGCATGGAAGGTCGGCGAACAAAACATTGCATAAACTTCTGACGCTCCGCGCGGATTTCTCGCATCTGCGCTGGCCTCCGGTGCCGCCCCTGGCGCGCTCCGCGCGCCATGGAGGGAGGTTTTCAGCGACAAGCCAGGAAATCCGCGCGGAGCTCCAGCAGTTTATGTTTTCTGCCGCTTTCGTTGTTCCTCTACAGTGGAGGCCCATGCCAAGAAACAGCCTGCTTGCCTGCAGGGTGCTCTTGGTTTCTTGGGTTTCGATGGTTTTGCTATGGAAAGCGTGACGTTCCCTCACCAAAAATCAATGGACGTGCTGGGGTCTCAGGGTTGGGTTGCTTGTGGGTGGTTTCTTGTGGACTGGCTTCCACTGTACGTTCGCCGATCCGAGAAATCCACGCGGACCATCACAAGTTTATGCTGATGCCTTGTGCATGCTGTTCCTCCTTCAGGAAGGGGTCCTGGAGATCTCTCGCCGTTCTCGGAGGGTTATTCACCCCCCCCTCGGGCCCCAGGGCCATGGCGGGCACGGCTCGAGTTAAGTAAGGCATGTCCCTCTACAGGAGGAATATTCACAAGTAGTCGAACAATAGTCTCGGGATGAATTTTTAACATAATTTGATTATTTTGGAATATGTTTTTTTTTTTTTTAAATTATTTTTCGCCCCAAACCCGCCTGTAGGAGGACATGCCCGACCTAAGGCTCGAGATGAAGTACCTGTCCTGGGTGAAAGCTCCCGGGGTACGGGGCCTTTCTCCGGTAGCGGTGGGGCGTAGAGCGTGCAATCGATGGGGTATTTTTTAGCGGGCGTAAGCACGATATCAAACATTTGTTTCCGCCGTGGGGTCGCCTGCCCCAGGGCGGCTGGAAGGCTCGTGCCCCAACGCGGCACCGTAGTGGTGTAAACTTTGCAGCCGCCCGGGGGGCAGGCGTCCCCGACGGCGGAACAGCTGATTGCGTACCGTTGCTCGCCCGCTAAATCTCGGCGGCGAAGAGCACCGACAACGCGTACTGATTGGATGCCAATTTCGTTTTGAGGCGCAGGCGAGATCAGCGTTTGGCCCGGAGATCGCCAGCGTGCGGTCGGCTTTAGAGATTCTCTGGCGATGTTGCGATACCAGAGCTTGGAGGGACGGTTGTCCAGTTATGTTGCATCTTCGGGGGTCCTCGCCTGTCCCCAGTCAACGCGGATTTGGCGAGGATTCGACGCGGATTCGACACGGATTAGACACGGATTCGACGAGTCCGACATCGATTCAACACGGATTCGACGCGGATAGGGCCGCGACCGGACAGACCAGGTCCCCAGAGGATGCGCAATGCTTCCAGGAGCTCGATTAGGGGCTCTTCTCGGAAACAACAGGGCTTTCTTCCAAGAGGGCTTGTCGCAGAAGGTTTCCTATTGTTGCTGCTGCTGCTGCTGCTGCTGCTGCTGCTGCTGCGGCGCGTCATGCCCTCTCCTCGCCCTCGGCTTGGGGAGCGGGGTATGTTCGAGGCCCTGCCTGCGGCACTTCTCGTGGGAGTCGGGCAGGAGGTTTGAGTCTCGGGCTCGGCGGGAGTGCCAGCGGCCGGTTATGCACTCCAGATCTTGTAATAATAGGGTGGTCACAACCCTCCCAGACGGGCAATTTTAGGCCCCCTCCAGACCAGCAATGAAAGGGCGGCCTTTTGCCCAGACCCCATCGGAACCCTCCAAGACAGCTCAAATCAGACCTCCCTCCCAAATCCGACCACCCCTTTCATTCGAAGCTCTGGAACCAGCCGAGTTGGCGGCAGCTATGTCGCTCCTAGGTTCCGTTGCCTGTAGTATCGGACATTCGGCCCACACGCGCTAGGCACGAAGACGACCGCGAGTCGCGGCTCGCGGTCTGGACCAGTTGCTATAGTTTCTTCTCCAGCGGGGCGTCGCGAGAGGGCGAATATTACCACGCTCCGCTCCGCGCGGAGCGCGAGTGCAGGTGACCCAGTCCGATCCTCCTCGATCGGCGAGGATGCTTGCCACACGGGCTAGGCCTTCTAGCACAATCCTTCAGCCTGGGGCGGCGGATGAGGAGGACAGAGGGCAACGATGGGAGGCGTGAGAAGGAGGGAGACGGGCATGAGAGGAGGGGACACATGACGAGGAGCAGGATCGGGAAGGGGATGATGATGAGGAGGAGGAGTTCGAGGTCGGGGACGAGGGCCAGGTGGAGGAGGAGGAGGAGGACGACGACGAATATGAGGGGAGGCCGAGGGCGACAAACAGAAGGTGGAGGAGTAGCAGGAATGAAGAGGATAAAGTAGAGGAGGATGAGTCGGTGGTCGAGTCATGGTGTAATCGCAGAAGGGAGGCGGACTATCGGTGATTGCACGGAGTGCGCCAGCAGCTACATTTCGTGTTGCATCGGGGGTGAGACACTTAGTGGGCCTTGGAAACGACAGGACCTTTGTCTCGTTTCCAGAATACGGCTCTTGATTCTGGAAGCGGTATAACATGATCAACGAAACGGAAGACCAGCCGGCGCCGTCGTCGGAACCATAACAAAACCCGAAACACTTTGGTGACAGAACCAGTCGCAGAAACGGCGACGGAACAGGAACAGCGCATGAAGAACTCAACCAGTAACAAAAAGTGGGCGTGCCATTTCAAAGCCGCTTAAGGTAACACGCTCTAGGTTGGAATTCTGTGGTCGTCACACAGAGCAAGAGTGCCTCTTTGGTGTAAGGCAGGAAACAGGCGCAGGCGGAGGGAGGGGTGAGAGAACGGCGACGAGGACCATGATGAGGATTTTGACGACGACGACGCCTGTGACGACAGGTGTGACGACGATACCGATGACGAGGAGCTGGCGCTCGTCGGCCCCCCCCGTGGTCCCAGAGCCGCGCGGCACGCGGCAGGCTGGAGCATGGAGCTGCAGCGCCACAACCCGGAGGCCCAGAACGCCGTTTCGAACCCGCTGTTCCTCCGCGCCCCTCCTCCTCCTCCTCCTCCTCCTCCTCCTCTTGTTTTTCTCATTCCCGGCTGCTTTACCCCTCCATCCTTCCCTCCCTCCCCCTCCCTCTCCTGTCTCCTCTTTCCCATCCCCACCTCTCTCCCGTCCATCCCCCGCCCTCTCTCCCCTTGTCCTCCCTCCTCTTTCCTCTGCCCTCCTGCCGAGGCCTGGAACGATCTTTCGGACCTGCTCGTGCAGTGCATGGTCTGGAAAACGGGCAAGGCGGACCAGGGGGGATACAGAGGCGGTGAAGGAGGAGCAGGAGGAGGAAGACGACGACGACGACGATGATTTCGAAGAGGTTGAGGAGGAGGACGACGACGACGACGACGACGACGACGATTTTGAGGGAGGAGGCGGACGACGACGACCACGACGATGATTTCGAAGAGGCTGGCGCCGACGACGACGGCCGCGGCAACTTCGACGACGGCGGCGGTGGGACGACGAGCCGGCGCCGGGGGGCCGACTCACCACAGAGCAGCCCGGCATCGGGCAGAGGTCGGCAAGAAGGAAAGAAGAGGCGGAGGAGGGGGAGGAGGAGGAGGAGGAGGAGGAGGAGGAGGACACAGGAGGCGGCGGCGGCGGCGGCGGCGGAGGAGGAGGAGGAGGAGGAGGAGGAGGAAGGAGGAGGAGGAGGAGGAGAGGGGGGAGCAGGAGGACACAGGAGAAGAGGAGGAGGGAGGAGGGGAGGCGGAGGAGGAGGAGGAGGAGGAGGAGGAGGAGGAGGAGGAGGAGGAGGCGGGAGGAGGAGGAGGAGGAGGAGGAGGTGGAGGAGGAGGAGGAGGAGGAGGAGGAGGGGGAGGAGGGGGGAGGGGGAGGCGGGGGGGCGGAGGAGGAGAGGAGGAGGAGGAGGAGGGGGAGCAGGAGGACACAGGAGGAGGAGGAGGAGGAGAGGAGGAGGAGGAGCGGAGGGAGGAGAGGCGGAGGAGGAGGAGGAGGGGGAGGCGGGGGAGGCGGGGGAGGAGGAGGAGGAGGAGGAGGAGGAGGAGGAGGAGGAGGAAGCGGAGGAGGAGGAGGAGGAGGAAGCGGAGGAGGGGGGGGTCCCTGGACCCTCAGATCCGACGCCGCGAAAACTGTCAAACTTTGCAAGAGAAGTCACGACCAGAGCTCTGTAGACCCCGTCTTCGGCGCTATGCTTCGAGCCGGATCTATCTGCGAGGGCCCCGGGGCCCGCAACTGGACGAACACGCCAGGCTCGGAAAAATAGAGACGCCAGGGTTTCATCGGACGGAGGCAGGACGAGGATCAATCCGTTCCAGAGCGTTCCAGAACGCTTTCAGATCGTTCCCGAACGCTCTGAGAAGGCCGTGTCGCCCGAGACATCCTCCAGAGCCGCCGGATCTCAGAGATCCTCGATTTATCCTCAACCGATTTTATCGTCGTCCTGGCTTCGTCTTCGGAAGAGGTCGGCCGCGCGCAGAGGCGGGCAGGGGGAGGGGGGAAGGTGTCTTAGAAGGAGGCTACTTCTTTGAAGGCGCGGGCCTTGTCTGTAGATGTAGGGCCGGCGCCTTCTTAGAAGCAGCCTCCCTCTGAGCGCCTCTACCCCCCTCCGCGCGCTGCACACAGAGGGCCCCGGAGACTCTGCACTTGTCGGCGGGCTCCCGCTGTGTCCCTCCCCGGGACCCGGGGCCGTCAAGAGACGGCCCTGGGAGGCATGCAGTGCTGCTCCAGGGCCGAAGCTCTGGGGTCCAGGGCCCGCTTCTCTTCCCAGAGGAGTGCAGGGTGTCGGCCACGCGCAGAGTGGGGCAGGGGGGTGGGGGGAAGGCGTCTCAGAAGCACCCCTGCTTCTCAGAAGGCGCGGGCCTTGTCTGTAGATGTAAGGCTGGCGCCTCACGAACAAGTCAACTCTGGGGCAGATCGAGTCCCAAGCGATCGAGGCCCCTTGGGCCTTCGAGGGGTCGAGGCCCAGGGGGCCCCGATCCCGAGAGGAGGATGGGGTGCCCACACCGTTGCCCAGACCTCGTTCTCCCCCTTCGTTGGGCCTCCTGGGAGGCCCTCGACGCCAGCGCTGGACTCGCCTCGTTCTCCCCCTTCGTTGGGCCCTCCCGAGAGGGCCTCGAGCCTCGACCCCACCGCCTGACTCGCGTCGAAATCCTGGCCAGAGCGCACAGGTCCGGAGAGCAGCTGGTTTCCCCACGTTCCCCTCGTGCCGAGGAGAAGGAGCAGGAGGAGGAGGAGGAGCGAGCAGCGAGGTGGGAGGGAGGAGAGGGCTGGCATGGCGCCTGTCACGTTCTCCTGCTCGTGCCGTGCCCGTCTTCGTCGGTGGCGGTCCCGGGCGGGGCGAGGCCCTGGTGAGAATGCACCCCAGGAGAGGTCCACGGCTCAGCGGTATGGGTATCCCTAGCTTCCCTTGGAATTGGAAGACGCAGACGAGGAGGAGGAGGAGGAGGAGGAGGAGGAGGAGGAGGAGGAAGAGGAGGAGGAGGAGGAGGTGGAGGAGGAGGAGGAGGGGGTAGCGGTGGGAGGGGCAGGGCGATGTGGAGGTGGAGATCTGTCAGAGTGGGATTGCGATGACGAGACGGAGGAGGTGGAGGAGGAGGTGGTGGAGGAAGTGCTGGAGCACGAGATGAGAAGGATGGGCCAGGGAACCACAGTTACGAGCCTGGTCCAGGTCTGATTTTCGTTTTACTCTAGGCAAACGGTTGGAAGCAGTCTTCGCTCCTCTTCCTCCTTGCCCCTCCTCATCCTCCTACACTTCCTCCTGCTACGGCGCCCATGTGGGCATGTGAGGTTGGCCCCTGCTCCCTCCGAAGCTCTGGATCCCGGCGCCTCTGCGCGCCGCGCGGGGCAGTTCTCGGATGTCGGGTGCGGCTCGACCTGCCGGGCTGCCCCGGAGCGTCTCGCCGGGAGGGGCAGACCAGCGCCGAGGAGTCAATAGAGCCGTAATGGGCGATGGACGCTTCGCTTAGGGGGTGTTGAGATAAGGGGAAAATCGCCGTCAAGATGTGTTTGAACCCCTCCCAGATACGAGCCCTCAACATCATTTCAAAACGGTTTCTAAACCTCGGGGTGGGGGGCCGCCCTGACCGAATTATCCGAGACCAGATCCCGAGCAACATAGGCGGACGTGCGAAAGCACATTGACGTATCTCTCCCTGATGCGGGGGTGAGTGGCAAGAGAGGTCACACAGAAAATAAACAACATCATGAGTGATGTCAGCCGCACGCACACGACACTTGCATGCACGCGCTCGCACGGCCAGAACACAACACGAACGCCCTCCCCACGTCCGTGCACAAGCAAGGATGGATGACCTGAGGATTTGACGCCCCTGCAGTCTTGTCTTGCTCTGCGTGCTCCGTGCAGCAAGGTGCCACCGCGACAGCCCCGAACGGCGCCGCACCTCGCGGCCAAGAGGCAAACACCTCTCGACAAACCTAAGCACTCAGATTTTCAATGCACTCTTGTATGCGGCAAGGACGTGCTCACCAAGGCAACTGGGGGTGAGTTTCACCTCGCGGATTGCAGACTGTACTTTGAGCATCGCCTCCCTGCGCGCGAAACGATCTGGATACGCCCTGGAAACTTTCAGAACCGAAGCAACGAGAAGCCTAGTGGACACCATTTTCAACACACTCGGGAAATCAGAATCGTCGGCAGCCGTGCTGCCGTTGGCGTTCGCGGCCTCCTCGAAGACCTCATGGTCCTTCGAGGGGGGAACGCTTGAATCTGCAAAAGCATGAGGGTGGAGGAGGGGGAGGAAAGGGGGCCGAGGGAGGAGGAGGTGGGGGAGGATGAGGAAGTCCCGAACCTGAAAAAGGAGGAGGAGGAGGAGGAGGAGGAGGAGGAGGAGGAGAAGAGGGAGGAGGAGAGGGTGGAGAGAAGAGTCAGAGGAAGAGAGTCTCTGTAGCACAGGGGGGAGGTGGGGATAGTAGCAATCGGTTGCAGCAAAGGGGGTAGTGTGCCCATCCTCCCGTTCGTCATTCCTCCTCCTCATCCTCCTCCACCTCCTCCTCCTCCTCCTTTTCCTCCTCCCTCCTCCTCCTCCTCCTCCTCCTCCTCCTCATCCTCATCCTCATCCTCATCCTCATCCTCATCCTCCTCCTCCCTCCAGTGTTCACCTCAAGCCATGCCTTGATCATCTTGCGAATCGCAACGATCGAGGACTCGAAGCTGAACTCGTCGAGGTAGTCGCTGTTCTTGGTCATGGCGCCGTTCACTGTGTCGGTGGAAATGGCATCCATGAGCTGTTCCATGCCCACGTCGCGCACCATGGTGGTCAGAACGTCGCTGGAGGCCTTGGCGACCTTGCCAAGGAAGGCGACGTGGGCCTCAGCATGCTCCTTCAGGCACGACGTGAAGTCACCGCCGTAGGTCTGCAAGGTCTGGTCAGCGTCCTCAGGCAACAACTCCTTCACAGCGGGCTTCTCGAGCGAGACTCTGAACTTGTGCTCGGCCGTCTGGAGGTCCTGCAGACATCCAGCGAAGCTCTTCTGGAGGATCCTACTCTCGGGCTCAGCGCCCAACTTGCGAATCGTTTTCACGCAATCGCAGGTGGCCTTCCAAGCAGCCAGAACGGTCAGTACGGGCTTCCACTTCTCCGAAAGACCCGATGATTGGACGTAGCGCATGCCCTCGATGATGCCCAGCCACTGCGGGTACATGCACTCCTTGTCGAAGAGCAGGCCCGAGCTCAACAGGAGCTCGACGCACTTGGACAGCTTGTCGCCAATGTCGATCGGCAACTCCTGTCCGCACAGCTCCGACAGGGCGTGGAAGACGTTCACGCCGAGACCCTCGCAAGCATTTGCCAAGAACTTGTCCATCGAGTCACGGAGAGCGGCAAACTTCAAGTCAGCGGTGAAGTTGCCCCGAGCAGTCTTGAATGTCATAAGGGCGACCTTGATCGACTCCGACTGCGCGCAAACCCTTGAGCACAACGAGATGACCTCCGCAAACGCCGTGAAGAGAACCATGATCCGATCTCGCTCCTCAGCGTCAGTCTGGGGGATGTCTCTCGCCATGCCGACCAGCCGCCTTGACACGTCCACGACTTTGGCGACAACTTCACCCTCATATTTCCGAGCGGCCCCAGTGCCATCCATCTCAACCTCGATCTTCGGCACCATGTCGACGAGCTTCAGCAGCTTCGCGATCTCGGCCGTTGAGATCTCCTTGCAGACGGCGTTCAACTCGCCGATGTGCTGGATCATAGCTGGTACGTGTTCCTTCATCTTCTTGGCATTCTTCGCCCCCTTCTCGAGCTTGGAACCCCAGT